GTGTATGACCTTTACATGATCTCTAATAAATCTTGGTGGAGCAATTTATTAGATTTCCCAAAGCTTCTCGATCATCTTCTTCGACCTTACGGTGCTAACCGAATTGTCTCTCTCGAAGAATCTCTCTCTTTCTTTCTCACTTGAAGAAGCCGAATTTCTCCAGTCCTTCGGGGAGAAAAAACGTGTGTCATGCTACAAAAGGCTAGAGGATTTGTGAATTTATAGGCTACAATAGGGACCAAAAGGAGGTGCTAAATATAGCTTATTCCTTTAGGTTTAGGAATCCTTATTATCTTCCATCCCCTTTTCCCATCTAGGATAATATTCCAAATATTTAATTACCTTCTAGAAGACTCCATAGTCTCCTAACGCTAGGTAATATTCTAGAAGGAATATTCTTATCCTTGGGGAAATATGAAATATAATTTATTCCTAATTCCTAATCGTGGAATTAAATAACAAAACATTCCACTAGAGTAATATTATTGCTCTCCCAATAGCTCTGAATTACAATTACTCATCTCCACTGATTAAATATATTAATCTAATTGATCGATTTATTTCTCCATGTTTAAGATATAACGTCCGTTGATTAATTAAATTACTGACAAAATAATTAATCAACTTCTTATTCATTTCCGAGATTAGTACCACTCAGATTCTTAATCATTATGCCGCGATACATCCGCCTGCAGGCTTGACATAATATTCATTCCTGAACTCATTTCGGGGACGTCCTCAACCCAACGCACAGGGACACAGTGACCGTAAATAATTTATAACGGCACATCATATAAACACACTTATTTATCAAAATACCGAGTATGTCATCCTAGCAAAATAGGAATCACCCTTGATAAATCAGATAAATAAGTGATGAATATATATGCCCATTTTATATTATCTTACAGCTTAAGAGTACGCATCAATTACTGAAGGTCTAGATTACAACAACAAATCAGTGAGTCTCATAATCTTATCCTTCTGTGGTCCTGTTCAACACCTATCATAAGTGCTAGTGTAATTCTCCAGTCAAAGACCAACTGAATCAAGAATACACTACAGTCTTTGTCCAAGAGGGGTCTCACTGCCTGTCTAGACTGTGAACAAATAGTTTAGTCTTACAAGGAACAGATAGGTGATCTTTCTGTTTGAAACACTTCGAACCACACTATCTCCATGTTAGACAAGGAGTATGATTGCATAAATAAATAAACTGCAAGCATATGTACTTTGACCGAACATGATGGCCATATCAAAATGTAATTGATAGAATCTGCAAAACCGAGCTTTTACAGCATACTTCTAACAGGACTCTCTTTATTTTGAACTGTGGTCACCACTACCAAAGGATCCTCAAGTTGATTACTACCTTTCTCCCCTCCCTTCTGATTATCTGGTTAAGAAGAAAGACTGTTTTTACAACCTTCCCCCACTTCACTCCTGGCCACTAACTGGTCAGTCGTAATAGGATTCTCTCTCTCACTAGAAGTACTCCCTTTATTTTGAGAACTAGGACTTCTAGGATACCCAGAAAATAAAGGACTGACTCTTAACCATTCTCCATATTGCCCTACCTTCAACTCATTATTTTCATTATCTTCTGATTTGGTCAAACAACTCTTATCAGAATGCCTAATTTTCCCACAATAAAAGCAGAAAGATTGCAAATTTTCATACCTAAAGTCCACCCAAGTGGATTCAGATTCAACTTTAATTAAAGAACCTCTAGGAAGAGCTTCATTCACATTAAGCTGAACCAGAACTTTCACAATTTGACCAATGTTGGCACTGGATCCAGGTATTTGAACATGATATTCTAGAGGTAGCTTACCCTCGTAATGTAATAGTCTAAAGCCCTCGCCTTTTTTTGTACCAAAAAAAAGTACCAAAAGTAATAAATAAATTTACGATGAAAATCACTATGTTAGAACTATTTATTTATTTATTTATATATATGAAGGATTTCCTCAGGCAACCTTTTTTGTTTAATCCTCTCTGGTCATCTAGACGGAGAAAGAAGGGACGAGCAAACGAGTGTATCCGGGCCCAAATCCGATCTATATTCTGTTCCATCTGTATATTCCGGCAGAGCATATCGATATCGGGATCCCACCAAGCCGGCTCAGGGATGCCATCCTTGGTCTGGTAGGTAGGTTATGTA